TTAAAAGAATTACGAAATGTTAAGGGTATTTTAGGTAGTTTATATGTTTGAATAGTGAAATGGGTTAGTTTGGGGTTAGTTTGGAATTTTGGCTTTGAATTTGGGTCATTTGCTTGTATATCCCCAGAATGAATACGGTGAAGATTTATTGTGACATTTAGTAGTTTTCATCAATTTGAAAGATGATATTTGATAAGTAATAAAATTTAAAACTAAATTTAAGTTTGGTGACTCAATTTGTAATGAAACTGAAGTTTAGTAAACCAATTAAGATAAAATTTAGAGATTGAGTTGAGATTTTTCTCAAAGTTCAGTGACCTTATGTGAAATTTACCCTATAAATGCGAATAATGCGCGGGAAAGAAGTGGAGGCCATATGAAATCGTTCTATTATTTTGGCTTTCGTACTGAAATCGTTCGTTAATGTAAAATAAAAAATAAAAGGTAATCTAGCATTATATAGTGCTCGTGATTAGTCACATAAATTATGGATATATAATTATTTGTAGTTGTATGGTTTAAAAGAACGTTTTATTTTAAAATCCACGTTTCATGGTTGGCAGATTTTCTAGAACCGATGGAATTAGAACCGAACCAGATAGAATCAATCAGTTCAATTCCGGTTGCTATACTAAATGGATCGATTTTTTGACCATGCATTGAGAATCGTCCTGTTCTGATCCAGTTCTCAATATTATCTTGAAAATTAATAGTGAATTCGATTATCTCGAATTTCTCTTTTTATTAGCATAATGTGTTTGTGCAAATTCTGTAAACGTATGGAATCGTTCAAAGTAATAATTTAGTGAGTAAAGAATATCGTCCTACGAGTAATAAATCTTAAACTTAATTGTGTGAATTCATCATTAAATTCGAATATAACATAACAAAAGAGATGGTTTGTTTATTTTTCTAATTTATTATGAGATGAATGTGTTGGAATTTCGATGGACCTATAATTATCTTATTTCCAGTTTTGGACCTAAGTAATTTAGTTTGATTTGTGTATTCTAGATAATCGATAATTCAGTTGTTTTTAATTATCTCTCCCAAGGTAAGTTAAATATATTCTAAGCACGATCCGATCTTATTCATATTCTGAATTCATATGCAAATTAATGCATTCGATTACATGATTATCTGGGTGATTACATACATCGTACATATCTCTTCGTCAATGCTTCCTTCTGGGCTGCCAAAATGATACTCCATCAATATTGTGGAGTCTGTCAGATGATCACATAGTCTGATTTTCTGTTATTCTCTCATATAGGTCATAGGCATCGTCTATGTGCATCTTCCACTTATCCCACTGCAAAACGTGTGTGTGTGTGTGATCATGTGTAATGTCATACATTAAAAAATTAGTTCAATTATCAACCCTTAATGGTCAATTATCTCATTTCTTCGCTCATAAGATTCATACATCAATAAACTTATTTTCTTTCATTCTCTCTTCTAGGTGTAAACAAATTGTCTAATAAGATTAATTTACCAATGTATACAAATACAAAAAAGTAGATACTAATACTAAAACATCGGTATAGAAAAGGAAGCTACAGTATAGCCACCACCTGTAATTTCTTTATATTTCAAAGAATGCACCAATTTGATTTACAAAACAACAAGAAGCATAGCCACGGGTTTCTTCAAAACTCAAATTAAATTAATGGACTAACTCCCCATAAGTATCTCTACGTTTTATACTAAATTATAGGATTTTACTATGTGGTCTAAATCTAAAACTCACATCTCGACTCGTAATAGATTCACATTATTAATGAATAATTGGTCAGAAAATTCAAAGCATTACTCATGAATGAAATCAACACGTGCTTTTAAAGAACTAGAATCTTGATAAAATAAGTAAAGGGTATCGATAGATTACATCTTTCGTCCTAATAAAAGATTTAGCTACTCATGTTACATCTTTCGTTCTAATAAAAGATTTAGCTACTCATGACGTAGGGAAAAAAAACAATATATTCATGAGCACATCACCGAATTTTGAATAAAAATGAAGATAAATTGATGAATTTTACACTAAGATAATCTTCTTGCCCAATCAATCTTCAAACCCTTAATTTCTTGTTTTTTTCTCTTTTGATTTGCTTTCCTAATTCTCAAGTTGTAGATGTGTTTCTCTATGTGTGGAACCCTTCTCAAGTGTCTTTGCTCTTATATTTATACTTCCTCTAATGTCTTTCGCGGACTTGGAGTCTTTATGGGCTCTAAATGGGTGAAAAATATACTTCCAAGACGACAGCAGGCGACGCCCAGACACCATGTAACCGCGATGCCACGAAATTTGGTTGGGTGGTGTCAAAGCGCCACCTATCGACTTAAATTTTCCTCCTGGCGCCACACGTGCTTCTGAACTTCAAGTGGCACGGGGATGCCATATCTAAGGTCAAATTACTCCTTTTTCTTCTATTTTCTTTCGGTTCATGAAGCCACTTTAGTTTCCAACTTTTGCAATCATTAACACCACCTCACAAACCTATAAGACAACACTAACAACCACAATAACAACATTCTCCACTCATAAGATCTAGCCAATTATCATGTTAAAATAGTATAAAATGCGTGAGTAAAATGCACTCATCAGCAACCAATAGGAAAAAATTATTTTTAGTTCAATATTTAATAAGAATTCAAATAGTGTCAGCCATAAAAAATAAGGTCCATGATGATTACTAAAGATAATTAGGTTATAAATGGTACAGGTATTTTTAATATATTGTTGTATGAATTTTCTTAAAAATTAATTTTTCGATCCAGATTTTATTGTTTATGTTGTGTTGAATAATTTGTCATATTTTCCCTTTCATGAGTTTATCTTTAGCTTTGGAGTAGATTTTTGTTTAATTATTTTTTTATCGTTAGATTGCGAAAATGACAAGTCGTTTCATAGTCTATTTTTGTCTATTTTCAATTTGACAAGTAATTTCTGTTGGAAAAATATACATATTATTTTAGTTGGCTTACTTAATATAGATTGATTTTCAAATGTCAATGATAAGTGTTAAAAACGTGATGATGTCCAAGCTGCCAGTCAGTCCTAAATGACTGGATGTACGCGTTTCAACAGAATTCTGTGGTTGCAGAATTTAAGGTTTTAATACCCAAAATGGGACGCAATTTCCACTTTCCACATTGTAACTAATACTACAATCATAAATATTATTTGATAGGTTAAATATTTAAAGTTAAAAGAAAGATTGGTTTACTATTGAACTTTGCATAAATTTATTTATTGCCATATTAAATAAATCTTGTATGAAACGATTATATTTTTACCCTTTTTTGTGTGTATAATTTTTGGTAAGATTTAGTTTACTCTTAGCTATTGCTTTAAGGAAAGATTGGTTTAATATTAACCTGTTCAAGTTTGTTAATTACCATATCAAAGGTATCTTTTGCAATATTGATATATTCTTACTGTATTTCATTGACAATTTTTAGTTCTAATCTTGTCTATTACTTTACGTAAGTAAAGGAAGAAACAAGAAGAGAATTAACGCTTTGAAAATCTATCCAAGTCTAGCGACCTAGCTGCTGAGTATTCTCTCATCTTCATACAAGTTCGATCGAACTCATGTATAATTGAAAACTTTCAACTTTATTTGAAGAAAACAAACCAGAGCGTAAATCTTCAATCTAGTTCAAAGATCAAGCTACTTGGTGTAAGTTAAGAATTGTGATTATTAATCCAAGGGGTGGTTGCAATCGAGTACAACAGTGAATTAGTGATAAATTCAAGATCGGGGATTTGATTCAACTTCTACAACAAGTCAAAATAAGAAGAAAATGAGGGAGTTTTTCTTAGATTTAATTGGATTGTTATTTGTTAATTTTAAGAAACTACAAAACTGAGATTGTTATATTTTTTATCGTTTGATTTAATAGATTGATTTACTTGTTGCATGGGGGCCATGAGTGCCAAGTCATATCTAGTTTTCATATTTTAATATGTTAGTTAATTTCACTAATTGATTAAAACCTTGTAGAACACTAGATTCTATTTACACACTGCAGTCATAAACTGCTTAAAAACTACTCATAGATATTGTGACTACCTGGTGTGTACTGTTTGAATTGGATAATTAAACACGGATTTTTTTACAGGGTTTTAGAATATATACTTGGTATCAAAATGGGTTTACTTTTGAAAATTTTGATCCATGTTTAACCTAGTTATGGGTACACCATTTTGACCTCATGTTCTAGATG